TGGAAAAAATATTCTTTTGTATTCTTTAAAAAGATGCAGCAGATAGTCTTGGCTCTCAATTGGTGACTTTAATATACCACTATTCTAAAGCTATGTGAGTATTTATTACTGCCATCTTTTCTCAATTGTGCATTCACTGGATATTTTGGGTTGTTTTTTTTTTTTTCATGCTTTCCATTGAACAGAACAGATTCTTTTTGGGTATTTAAAATTCATACATTCAAAAAATTGACAACAGTTGCCTTAATGTAAAAGACTCATACTTATGAAATTCTTTCCTACTAAACACAAATGTTGTGACCATTCACATATTCCGACTACCCAGCTTACACAATAAAACAAAACTATCCTGGGTGCCCACTAAACACCCTTCTTATTGACATTTTGTTCCCACCCTGTAAAGTTACTTTTTTTAGAATGTGATGTTTATTCTCCCTATGAATGACTGTATACATGTGTAGGTTTTGTACATGTTAGGTTAGACATGTTTTAAATGCAAAACAGATAGTATCATCTGGTATCTGTCCTTCGAAACTTGCTTTATTTTGTACTCAGTATTATATGTGAGGTTGCTCCAGGTTGGTACATATATCTATACTCATTGTTCTATAGTATGATGTATGTATTCAGTACGAGAGAAAACCACTTCATTATCTACGGTACAGATGATCCAGTTTCAGCAGCAGGAGATTGAACCAAACACAATGAATATTCCTTAAGTCGATTTTAGGGAGACAAAATGCAAATGAACTCATAAAAAGAATCGAATAAAATTGCTAATTTGGACATTGAGCAAATCGACACAAAGCCCAAAGTCTCAGTGAGAGGAAAAACAAGCTGTGGTACCAAAAATAGTTCCACCAACGAATGACCCCTGTATTAGTCTGGCAGTCATTACCGAACAGCACAGGCTGGACGGCTCAGCAGCAGACACGTACTGTTCTCAGTTCTGGATGCTGGACTTGTGAGATCAAAGTCCCGTCAGCGTTGCCGTGTGGTGAAGTCTCGCCTTTCTGTCTTACAAATGGCCATGTACTTACCATGTCCCCATCAGGCCCCTTCTATGTGTGTGCGTGGAGAGGGAAAGAGAGGGATCTCTGATCACTCTCTGTTCTTATAAGGACACTTGTCCTATCAGATCAGGACCGCATGCTTAGGATCTCACTTAATCTTAGCTGCTCCCTACAGGCCCTGTCTCCAAACACAGTCACATTGGGGGTTAGAGTTTGTGAGGGAACACATTCACTTTATAACACTTCCGAAGCCTATATACCAGTCAGCTTTTGCCACAGCAATATTACATATAAACAACCTCAAACCCTTCGGGTTTTACAAAGGCAAATGCTTAATTTCTTGGTCATGGACGTGTAGTAGGGATGAGGATGATCTCAGCTGATCTTGGCTGCATGTGGATCTAGACCACAGGTCAGGTTTAGGTCCACAGACCTTGTTTTGGAGTCCAGGCCAAAGGGGCAAAGGACACCTAAGCATGTACATTTCTGGGTGATGGCAGTATCACAAGAGTGCAAAACTCAAACACGCAAACACATCTCAGGCCTCAGCTTTACCACATCTACCAACATTGCATCAGCCTTTGTCAGCTTGCATCAGCCAAGTCAAGCTACTTGGCTAAGCTCAACATCAAGGGGCGGGGATGTCCATTTCACCAACCATGTGGCCAAGGCGAGACTGCTCATCCTACCATGGCATAGTGAAGACTTGGGAGCAGTAATTCAATCAGCCACAGCATATATTCTCAAGCTCTGAGTATTTGCCATGATCTTAATGATACTACAGGACATTCTTCTGCTCTAATGGCCCAGGTGGTTTTGAGTCGTAAGGACTGATGATGCAGTCCAGCAAAAGTCTTCTGTTGTTCCATGTTGTGCTTTGATTCCTTACCCACTCCTTACCTAGCTTCTTAGGGTTCTGTGCACCCATGCACCGTATGTTGTGGTTTGAAGGTTCGTTCATTAGTTACTTGCACTCTGTGAGCTCTGAGTCAATGGAGAAGTATCCAGAATCTGGAGGGAATTCAGTGCAGTATTAGCTTAAGGATTGGTGAAGTTGCCTTGGATCCCAGACTAAGATGGTTTCCCAGCTATTTCCCCTTCCGATTTGAACTTACTTACCTAGTCTTAGGTATCACTCCTAGAGAGCACCCTGCCTGTCTGCTTTGTTTACAGTGTGGGAGGAAGAAAAGCTGGTCAGATGAATCTGGAGGAGGGAAACTGTAGGGCAGGAAGGGTGTTCAAACCAAAGAAACAGGCCTTGTGGAGGTGTTGAGGCAGGAGGCAGAGTCGTTGGTGGCCATTGCAGAAGCATCCAGGCATTTGAAGGGTTCACAGTCCAGGTATCTGAACTGCTGAAGATGAAGGCCCTTGGACAGTTTGTCCTGAAGAAAATCAGGCCGAGCAGGGACTTGAGAGTTGACCACAAACATAAAAGAGGAGACAAAATTCCATTCATTCTCTCATTCATTCAATAAACAAATATTTGAGTGCTACCTTGTACCGGGCTTACTGTTCTGTGTATTGAGAAATAAGCTCTTATCAAAATAGTCACATCCCTGTTCATGTGGGATTTACAACATTTATGGAATGGGTTACAAATATCACACTAATTAAAAAAGATAAACTCTAACAGAAGGTAGTAAGTGGTAAAGAGAAAAAAATAAGGCAGAAAAGAGGGTTAAGGTGTGTCGGCAAGGTGAGATACAATTTCAGAAAGGATGGCCAGGCCAGATGACATTTGAGTGAAGATCTGGAGGAAATGGGGTCACGGGATGGGGGGCATTTTGCAACAGGTGCAGCAGGCGCAAACACTAGAGGGGGTTGGTGCCCAGGTTTGTGGGTTGGAGCATAGTAAGAAGGCCAGTGTGTGAGAAGGAAGTACAAGATGAGGCCAGGCTGGTCATGGGGTTGGGGGGAGCGATGGGGGGGTAAGATCAGTGTGGACCTTGGAAGCCAGTGCAATGCGCCAGGGGTTTACTCCATGGGATGGGGAGTCAAAGGAGTACTTTGTGCATAAAAGAGACATGTGGGTGATTTCCAGCAACAGTGGGTGACAGTGTGGAGGATGGACTGAATGGGAACAAGGGTCATAATTCAAGGGGCTCCTGAAAAAAATAACTAGTCAGTGGGTAGAAGGGGGTGACTTTCCAACTAAACGATCTCACCAAACTGACCATCCACAGGTGAAGCTGGCTGCACAGCCACCCTGGGAGCCAGTCAGCAGCACGGCACTGACAGTCCCAGCAGGTGCCAAGGATGCTGACACGTGACATTCCTACATGAGGTGAAGCATTAAACTCGGACATCCCAGGCTCTTTCCAGTACCAGGCATCTCTGGTGCCACTGCGTATATCACCCTAAGAGTGTCCCTTCTGTTCATCCCTGTACTATATCACCCTACGAGTGTCCCTTCTGTTCATCCCTGTACTCCGAGGGCCCGGACTAGAGTCCAGCACATAGCAGCCACTCAATGAGTACTTGTTAAAGGCATGAATGTTTCTGTTAAACATAGTACAGGCTTTAGAGCAACATGCTTTTCTTCTCCACACCCCAGAGGATAAGAAAAGTTGGACTGAATGGTACCTGCTGACCTTTCCCGGCCTGTCCGTCTGTGGCAGCATCTCAGACTCTGAGCCACTGTTTCTCAAGGACTTTGCGGGCTATGGGGAGGAGGAGGGGTGCTGATGGGGAGGAAAGGCAGGGCTGGGCAAGGGCAAACCTGAGTCAAGAGGAAGTGCACAGACAATCTCTGGGGCTGGGGACCAGGGAACTCTACAAATAAAGGGGAATTGTCTTTGAGATGTATAGAGTTCTAATTCCAGAAAGGGATACTGAGGACCCATCCCATCCCAAGCATGTTGCCTTTGCTTCATGGTCAGCCTCCTCGACAAAGCGACAAAGCGTGCACAGGTCTTTAGGCTTTCTGGGGAGAAACACCATAAATAGCAGTAGGGACTCCTCTCAAATGTGTCAGAAACCCTTTCTTATCGTGATGAAGTTCACCAGTGACAACATTTCTTCACAGAGTTCCATGCAGGCCCCGCATTTATTATGTGCCCCCAGACACCCACCAGGCAGCTACTCCCCACCCCCCTGAGGGTTTGCAGGATTGCCAACATCCATGGGTTGGCTCCCAGGGCCCGTCGTTGCTACCAGATACAGACATGCTGTCATACAACGAGATGCACACTAGGTAATTGCAATAATTTTATTCTTTTTATTTAGATTTAATTTATTTCAGACAAGAATGTTTTTAATATTAAGCATGCAGATGTGTGTGTTTTCCATGCTCCTTATCCTATGAGTTGCATTCATTTTAAATTAAAGGAAATAGAGTTCGCTTCATGGTGACCTAGAAAAAAANTTAAATTAAAGGAAATAGAGTTCGCTTCATGGTGACCTAGAAAAAAAATTAGCCAGAATTTAGTAACTCATTAATTGTGAAAATATTGACATCTGTTATCTCATTCAGTCTTTATATTAATCTAGCAAGTAGATGCTATTGTTGCCTTGATTCACAGATGCAGAAACTGGCTCGGAAAACATGTCTGGCCCGTGGTTGTACAGCTAATAGATCAGTTCATGATTCCAAGTGTCGGCTCTGAATTCAGACGTACATGACAGTATAGTGTTTACACCCAAAGCATGTCATTACCTTTCAAACTCAAAAGGTAGAATAATCACAGTTATAAATGCAAGGACAGTCATTTAAATAAACAAATTGATCTTTTCTGGCAGATGATCTCAGTTTTCACAGGGAGATACTGCTCAAATAGAGGGGAGTGACCCTAAATTCCAGGAGTTTCCCTGTTCTCTCTGCAGACGCTGGGATGGGGACATTCCCTTGTAGATTTTTTCTAATATGTGGGCTCTCAGAGGCTTAATGTGTGGACTGCACCCCTGCACTACCTGGGTTCCCATCCTCCCACCCAGATACCTGGGTTCCCATCCTCCCACCTCACATTCTTCCTGGATCCCTTTTAGCTCTTAGGCTCCAAGTTCCTTGTGGCGATGGCCAAAGGCTTCGGGGTCCACACTGGCAGCCACAAATGTGTTTTTCACCATGCGCTCAGCTCTGGCCAGCAAGCCTTCCAGATTCTTGGTCACACAGGGGGTGGTGTCGCAGGGGCTCTCCTGGGCAGTGATGCTGGTGTGCAGGATGGAGGAAAAGGAGCCCATCAGTGAGAGGCTGTCAGAGAGAGATTCTATCTTCCCCATGGGGTAGTCATGGGAAAATGATTGCTCTGAGAGGCACCTGTTAATGGTATGGCTTTCCCCTAATCACAGTGTTCACTGCAGAAATACACAGGCTATGGGGAAAATGCCATGATCACTCCCGCAGACATTCCCAGGGGTGTGAGGAAGCCCAAAGTGGCTCTGGGTGAGTGGCCAGGGAACACAGAGCTGTAACAGCTTATCCTGTATAAGTAAACTAAAAAGCAAGCAAGGCTTAGGAGAGAGGATTATAGCCCCACACTGACCCCAACTCAAGGACTGTCTAGAAGCCACAGCCCACTCAATGGTACCCAATATCCCTTCTTAGAAATAGGACAATTCCCCAGACTCACCTGGAGGAAGAAGTATAACATTGGGTCCCAGAGGTGCTTACCTGCTCTGCACGGCTCCTGTCCAGCTACTGGATGTTGGTCACAGGACTACTCACTATGCCCTGGATCCAGCTACCACGGGGCTAAGGCTCCTTCTAAGCACAGGTCTCTGAGTCTGAGAAGCCTGTGCTGTGGCCCAGGGCAATAACCACCACTGCTCAGGTCTTCTTACAAATGCACTTTTATTACCCAGTGACAAACACATTCATAAGCAGAACTGAGAAGCTGGGCTACGATTCCTTGGGGGAGTCAAAGGCTGCCCCCCCATCTCTTCCCCGGGGGGTTCTCTTCTGGCCTGAACATCTTGCTCTCCTCCCATCTGAGGTTCCAGACATCCACTGCCACAAAGAAAGCTACTGACACCAGCAGCCAGAGAGGACCACATGTCTCATGATATAGGAAGGAAGGAAGAAAGGAAATTAGAAAGTTGAGGGAGGGGATTGGTAGGCATCCCGGATCATGCCCGTGTGAGGGCCGTGGTCTCTCTCCAAGCTGCTGGCCATGACCCTTTTCTTGCCAGGGGCTCCGACCCCAATTGCAGTCTGAGGGAACGTGTGAAACTTGTTGAGGTCCTGCGTGTATGTGCCCAGCACACAGGTACTCAGATTACTGCACCGCTTAGCTCGGAAGCTGTCCAGGCTGCAGGGAAAAGACATGCCAGGTGGTACCACAGCCCGGGTCTGCCCCTGTGGGTATCATGCAGAAGGTTAGACCAGGGAGGGGGCACTTGGAGCAGAGGCGGGAGGGGCAGGCAGCCGTGCAGCACTCAATCCTCCATTAGGAGAACCTAGAGGTTTCCTGAGCCAGGGCAGTGTGGGGAAGGGCTGTGGTGGGGAAGGGGTAGCCTTCTGTAGCATTCCTCATGCTGCAAACCGTCAGTCGTCATGCTCTGCACTGAGATTTGCAGGGTAGCTGCTTGTGCATCTCATGCCTCTGACCCGGTGGGTCCCGGGCCAGCCCAGGACTGGTGTGTGCTCCAAGCTCAGGGGAAGCAGGGAGGGGAGGCAGGGGCAGTGCATCTGGCCCCATGACAATGTGTGTGTCTCCACAGAGCCTACACTTCTAAGACCCCAGACCTACCTCAGACAGTGCCCTACCCGACCCCACCCTCTGAAAGGCCTTTGGCTTTACCTTGCAAACGTGCAATGAATGAATGCCATGTGCCAGTGTCCAAGAAGCCTAATTCTAAACCCGAGATACGTGTGGTCCATCTGCCGGTTTCACACTTACTGGTCCTAACTCCTCCGATCCCAGGAAGTCCCCTCAGTGCTGCCAGCCCAATTGCCAGAGTGGGGGATTTCATACCTTCCCTAACTACTTTCAGAAAGGGATCTTTTTCTATGAGCCTTAACCATCGTCTCTGTGACTTCTATTGTCAAGGAAGCCTTAGAATCCTGGGCCCCAGCCAGAGGTGAACCATGGCAGTGTGCTGGCCACCTGTCCAGCTGTGTTCTCTCTTACCTCTTGGGATATGCCTTCCTGGGCAGGAGGGAGGAGATGCCCTGAGCTGAGCCAGGGGTGGGGGAGTCTCACCTGGAGCTGTCAGTCTCCTGCTCCCGCTGCAGCTCACGGACCTTCAGGCGTACATAGTCATTCAGCACTGCAGTCAGTAGGAGGCATACTTCGTTCTCAGTGAGTATAGGGGGTTCCAGAGAGTTCTCTGAGGCAGGTCTACGGAGGGGATGAAGGCCAATAGAGGCTCTGAGCCTATGTCTACCACCACCCCTGGATCGGTGGCCAGGCTACCTTCCTGTGTTTTGTGTTTTCCTTAAGGATGTGGCCACCCCAAATCATAGTGGTCAGGGCATGAGTCCAATGTCCTTCGAAAAACATTGAATCACCGGTAGTCAGGCACTAGAGTGACCTTGACATAGACTGTTGGAACTAGAATATATAGGGTCATGAAACTGATGGTGAGATTTTTCAGAAATATTATAAGCTTAGTGTTAAATTTAGCCATTATTAAGCATTGTTATAAAACAGTTTGAGTCAAAATATTTGTGTAAGGGTGAGAAATTAAGAGGTCTCATATTAAACCTAATAACAAATTAGTGGAAAATTAGATTAGTATGTCCTTTGTTTATCAAATTGTGCTTTAATTAGATAAATTTGTTGGCTATAGATACAAATATTTGGTCAATAGCCATGGCTGTTCTGTAAGACTCAATAAAATATATGAACTACACAGTAAAGTATAGAATATACCATTTGTTTTTAAGTTGTATATAATATCTTTGTAGCATAAAATGTTTATAATAAACCCTTATGCAGGTCACATGCATACTTTCCCCCCCTGAGAGCTGGTGGTTAACCTTTTAGCCCATCAGAGTACAGAAGTGTCTAATCCCAGGGGCAGTGGGGGGGGTGCACTCTTGGCAGGGCTGTCTTACCTGAATGGTGCTGCCTGGAGGATGCCCACCTGGTATAGGGCCAGGATGCTGAGAACCAGGAAAGGAGAGAACTTCCAGAAGCCCATGATGCTTCTCTGTAAGAGAAGAAAGAGGGAAGNCTTCCAGAAGCCCATGATGCTTCTCTGTAAGAGAAGAAAGAGGGAAGAAAGACGTCACCTTCTGCACCAGTCTGAATTCTGTGAGCCCAAGGACCTGGGCTCTAGTCCTGCTTCTACCTCTAACTCCCTGGGATGGCGGCTTCAGGCTGGTCATGTTATTCCCTTTATGATTGTTTCCTCCCCAGGAAAGTGGACGGCTGAAAGATCCAGTGAGCCTGTAGCATGCATAGTTTAGCAAAGACAGCAGAGCTATCCTAGCAGACCACTGGGTGAAGAGGATTCTGTCGGTAGCCCCCTCCCCACCACCGGGCACCCTCTCAAATTCACATCCTGGCCAGGTCTCCACTGAAGATAATCTCTGAGCACCCTGTCACCAAGCGGCTCTCCTATCACAACCCAGAACTGTCATCCCTGTGTGGGGCTTTTGCTCTTACCTGGTGGGTTATGGGGAGGTCGGTAAAAGGGAATTATCTCTACCAATGGAATCTTAGAGAAACTGAAGAAACAAATTCTGCTTACCTGCTCCACACTCTGGCAAAGAATTCCCTGCAAGAACCAGCTTAGCAGAGTCTTAAATCGGGGTTAGGACTTAAAGCAGGGCGGAAAATGTCCCAGAACTCACTAAAAGGGCTTGCTATCCAAGGCTGCCTTCCTCTCGGTCTTTGAGCCTATCTGCCACCCACCGAGGCTGGCCAAAGTTCCGAAATGATTTCCCAGGGACCACTAGGCACAAACAGGTCCGGGACACCCCTGCGCCCCGCTGTGCACACGGTATCTGTGGAGCTCCAGTGTCCGGAGCGCAAGTGCGGCAAGAACAGCGAACTGAAGTGGGTCTCAGTGCGCAGTGAAGCAGGAAGTCCCGGGACTGAAACTGGCCAGTGTTACCTGAGGCAGGAGCCTGCGATGAATCCTGGAGTAACGGAGAGCAGCTACAAGAAGGACGAGTGCAAAAGAGAGACGGAAGAAGAGGGAGAGATAGACTCACACAGCGAAGCGGGAATCTCGGAACTCACCTGGAAGCAGGTGGCTTGGAGCCCAGGTGGTGGCAGCTGTGGCAGCGTTGGCGTCAGGCGGTGGCGCTGTGGAAGCCGCAGGGACTCTTGAGCGGAGCAGTGGCTCTGCTGCCTCTGAGCACCAGCAGCAGCTCTTATTCCTGATGCTCTGGGTCTGGGGTGGTCCTGGAGCTCTGAGCAACCAATGAGAGAACAGATCTCGTACCCTGATGGATTGTGTCACCCATTTACGTCCAGAACCTAGAACATTCCGCAGGACCATCCCACTTGTATTTGCATTGAGGTCATTGATGGGAGTGGAGGGAGGGAGAGGGACGGTGGGGACCAGGAAAATACCCTGAATAGGAGCAGGAAGTTGAGGGTGGTTTGACGTCAAGGTAAATTTTACCTGTTTAGTTCCATTGGGTTATGAACCTGTGCCCCTCACCATCCCAGCGGTGCAGTCCTATAGGATAATATCCAGGAAGCAAGACGTCCCAGCTCCCCAGGTCTGACCCTAGATCCTCCAACCAAGTGAGGCTTGGACAGTTAAAAACTTGCAGCAGCGTTGACTCTGGGCACAAGCAGGGTGTCTGATTTGGGCAGCTGGAATCACAGAGGGGCAAAGCACATGGGAAGCAAGAGATGGGCGATCTCAAGAACTTTGTCCATAGAACTCAATTGCAGGGGGTACAGTTAAGGGCAGTTAACTGTATCCCCTGGGGTACCATCATCTTTGAAATGGGGACCATATATATTCCTGGCTTCAGAACATGTTGTTGTTAGTAGCCATGTGCCTGTACCCCAGTTACAGAGGGATTTAGAAGAGCTCAGGCCCAGAGAGGGATTCTGTGAAGTCAAAATCACAATTTTCGGGCTTCCCACCTTGTGTGGCTTTCTGGATTCGTGCTGGGTGGTCTGTCCTGCGGTTTAGGAAGAGCTGGAAGCCCTCCTGGGCCTGAGCCTGAAGGTGTTAGGCACCGCTGCTTCCCAAGCCTCCAAAGGGACTTCTAGCCCTTGGTCTCCCTCTCCTGCCATCCATCACCTCTGGCTCCTCACCCCATAGAGCCATTTGCCTAGCTGCCCCCTGTTTCCGGCTGCTGTTTGTCAAGTTGTCCCCTGTGGCCGGCAATCCCAGCCCTGTGCCCGCCTCCCCCGCACTTCCGTCCTTCACTAGGGAGCGGAGCAGGCTTGAAGGTACTGAGGAATCGGCACAGACACTAAGCTCACACGCAAAGCTTACACACAAACTTATTTTGTCTCCAAACGTGTGCGCATTCCTCGGAGCACAAGCCGGTGTCGGGGTCCAACACACGGGGCATCGACATAGGGTCATGAGGCTCATGCTCTGAGTCTGTCTCTCACGGGATCGCATACACACAGGGCATGGTGATATCTGCTGAAATCATATCACTCTCAATTGTAAGTGTGCTCTCTCATGTGGCGCTACTCTCTCCAGGACCCGCCAGATGGAGGGCTTTAGGACCCCTCCAACATGATCTTTCCGCTCCCTGCTTGCCTGGAGGTCTTAGGTCCTGACTTGCTTCCCTCAACACAAAGAGTGCAGAGAAAGAGGTTCTTACTGTTCCCTGGATCTCGAAGTCTGCGTGCAGCATGTGAGCCTCAGCCTCCACATACTCTCCCCAGGCGGCAAACGTGACCGCGGCGGCAAGGGGGCCATAGTGGGAGAAGCGTGTCTGTGGCGGCAGCCGGGGTCCCCGCGGCAGCGGTGGTCCTCGCGGCAATCATGGTATTGTAGGTGCAGTGGGTGGGAGACGACATCACAGGGCTGTGCAGCGCAGGCAGAGACCCCAGTTATGTATGTCTCCCAGGCAGAGCGGAAATAATGCCCGGGTACATCGTATGTGATCCGGGCAACGATGCGCCCCTCTCCTCAGTCCCCAGAAGCTTCTGCATTTCATAGTGCACAGCTGCCTTGGGTCACCTCTCCTTCCCTTCTAATTTGGTGGCCACCGTCAAAGACATTTACGTTGTGAGATGCCTGTGTGCAGCTTTCTTTCATCTTAACTCCCGGTGCTGCCCCACCGTGAGGGAGAAAGTTCGGGACTGGGGATCGGGTGTGTAAGACTCACTGTCCTCGTGGTGGACTGGCAGGGCGGCGGGTTCTTAGACGTCCTAGTGTGAACCGCAAAACCATTCTCTTCTGAGTCCATCCTTGATTTATCGAGTCAGGTCTAGGAAGTTTAGACCTTCACGCGTGCGGGCTGCTTAGATTATGTCGGGCTATCCTGGAACCTCTCTAAATTAAGGCTACACAGAACACGCTCTAATATATAATTCGCCAAGGAAAATACTGATTTTCAAATAGTCGTTTGACTAATTTGCTCTTGGTTTTGTAAACTTACTTCATCATTTGGTGTGAGGAGGTTCACAGTGTTGGACTCCATCCCCATCGGGACTCAGGCACTACCTCCCCGCCAGCGCCCTCCCCGCGCCCCGCTGCCTGTCTTCTGCCTGGTAGCCGCGACCACCACAGCTGCAGGAATAGAGCAATGTTCCTCCCAGCTGCGGGTGCCTGTGTACACAGGTTCAGGGCTAGACCAGATCCAGCACCAGGTCTTACAAGATCGTCTTTCACAAAGCCCGGTAAACACTGCTTCCTGGAGGGCAAGGCAAACAAACCCAGAAGTGCATTCTCAAAGAAATTTAGAAGATGGCCGCTGACTTCCTGGTCACCTTCCTAGGAGCCAGTTCCAGCTCTCTACGCACTGTCAGGGAACACCTACCATGGTGGAAGGCATGTGTAAGTATAACCGGGACTCCACGTGCCTCACCCAGATCACTGACAAGACTATGTTCATGAGTGTGATGGATGCCTTCACCATCCCGGTGCCTTGGGCAGAGTAAGACCCCCACCACTCCCAAGAAGGACCATGGCTCTCTCTAATAGTCCTATTTGAGGT